GAGGTTGCTATGAGCTGTAATGCCACGGCACTCTACCCAGGGGGACAGCTTGAGGCTCTGTCTCAAAAAAAAAAAAAAGAAGTACATTTATCTCTCTAAATATATTTTGCTTAAGATGATAATGTAATATAATTTCTTTAAATTACTCTATAAAAGGTTGGGGGAAATGGCTTGGGAATGTATTGATGATAAAATCAGTTTGTGAAATTTTAATAATCATTATTAGGTAATCATGTACAGATGAAGATTGATAGGATTTTTTGCTTCAAATTTATAAGTTTTATTCTGCCATGTTTTTAGTTTTTTGAAGTTTATGCCAAGACAAATAGAATATTTCAGATAATTTTAAACTTTGGCAAGTAACCAGTGTAATTGTGTTGTAATAGATGGAGTTAAACATTCCTTATGAGTAAATAAAACATCAGGATATGTAAAATCTCTCCTACTTCTTACATTCTAACACTTTTTCTTTGCCAGTATAAAGTGCGAGCTTATATCCAAATGAAATCCCTGAAAGCATGCAAAAGGGAGATCAAGTCAGTCATGAACACAGCTGGAAATGTGAGTTTCTTCCAGACTTTCTCTCGTTTTTCAACTTATGACTTTCTTTCTTAGGCTATGAGTATCTGTCAATTTTAAATAATTTATCTTAGTCTATTGTACATGTCACTAGATAGGGAATGTTGATATTATAGAATTGGGAAATACAGATCATACTGTTCCTGGAGTTTAATATTTTTTTTTACTTAAAATTATAACAAGAATTTTCCCTTTTTTTATGTAGCCTTAAAAACCACAATTTTAAATCATTGCCTAGTGTTCTGTGAGTGGTTTATCACAACTCACTTAAACATTTTGCCAAATTAGACATTTCGGTTATTTTATAATTTTTGGTATTATACTTGTTTGGACTGGGCACAGTGGCCCACGCCTGTAATCATAGCACTCTGAGAGACCAAGGCAGGTAGACTGCTTCAGCTCAAGAGTTTGAAACCATCCTGAACAAAAGCGAGACCCTGTCTCTAAAAAAGGAAGAAAAAAGAAAGACAGAAAAATAGCTGTGTAGCAGCCCATAGTCCCACCTACTGGGGAGGTTGAGGCAAGAGGATCACCTGAGCCAAAATTAGAGGTTGCTCTGAGCCATGACCCCACAGTATTCTACCAAGTGTGACAAAATGAGACTGTCTCAAAAAAATATTAAAGATTTAACAAATTGTGGCCAAAACCTGCCGCTTCTAAATGACTACTGGTGCCAGGCATGGTGGCTCACGCCTATAATCCTAACACTCTGGGAGGCTGAGACAGGTGGATTGCCTGAGCTCACAAGTTTGAGACCAGCATGAGCCAGAGCAAGACCCCCCCATCCTGGTCTCTAAAAAGCGCCAGGTGTTGTGGTAGGTATCTATAGTCCCAGCTACTTAGGAGGCTGAGGCAAGAGGATCACTTGAGCCCAAGAGTTTAAGGTTACTGTGAGCTAGGACGCCACAGCATACTACCAAGGGTAACACGGTGAGACTCTGTCTCAAAAAAAAGAAACCAAAAAAACAAAAAAGACTATTGGCTTGATAATATCTTCGATTTGTCTAGTCCCAGAATATTTCAGATATAATTCCTCCTTCCATTCCCTTCACCCTAATCCTCCATTGATAAATTTTAAGATGGTATAGGGAAGACATAGCATAAACAGTCTTGATGCTTTAGATGAGCTGTATATTTAGAAATATGAAATCATGAGAAAATAAAAGTTAAAAGTCTCAGGCAGGATTCAGATTAGCCATTGAGTTAGTACCCTCTTGATTTTTGAGAACTGTAGCCTAAGTCTGAGGCTAAGAGGAAAAGGCCAAACTAGCCAGCTAGTCATTATCAAACCTTTTATCTCATTAAAAGCATAATCCTTGACTTAAAGGAGGCCGTAGTCAAAAAAGAGAGAAATGGCTCGGCGCCTATAGCTCAACCGGCTAAGACGCCAGCCACGTACACCTAAGGTGGCGGGTTCAAATCCCCAGCCCGGACCCGCCAAACAACAATGACGGCTGCAACCAAAAAATAGCCGGGCGTTGTGGCGGGCGCCTGTGGTCCCAGCTACTTGGGAGGCGGAGGCAGGAGACTCGCTTGAGCCCAGGAGTTGGAGGTTGCTGTGAGCTGTGAAGCCATGGCACTCTACCCAGGGGGACAGCTTGAGGCTCTGTCTCAAAAAAAAAAAAAAAAAGAGAGAAATGAACATAATTATAATTCAATGTAATACTCATACCTGAATCAGGAAAAACTTCAGAAGGAAGTGCTGCCACTGAGAATAAGCCTTGAAAGCCCTTATTTCCTTAGTGACCAGAACTCTGGGTAGACAGGAAGCAGAGTAAAGGATGAACTAGGATTTAGAAGGAAATCTTGTTGCTATGCTAAAGTGGATTAATAATGAGACAAACATTCTACATGTCCTCCCGGGTAGGTGCTTAGTCTCCATATCTCTGTATGCTTTTGTACTCAAAATAGGTACTGCTACTCAGAGGCCCCTCCACCAAGATTCTTAGGGGAAGTGAAGATGATTTGTAATCCAAAACACAGTCTAAGGAACAGCAAGATTAATTCTCTCAAATAAGGCATTCTATTGGAAAATTCTTCTGTTCATAGAAGAATTATTTTATTTTTATTTTTCCTATTTAGAAAAATATTTGGTCTGGGCACCAATAGCTGAGTGGTTAGGGCACCAGCCACATGCTCTGGGGCTGGTGGGTTTGAACCTGGCCCAAGCCTGCTAAACAAAAAAAAAAAAATATTTGATTATCTTTGGGCTCTAATGACAAGTACCGTTTTCTCCTGAAAAGGAAGATCACCAGCCTAATAACCATTAAAAATAAGGACCTAATTTGCATTGTCAAGTTGACTTGACTTTAGTAGTGTAATAGATGAAGGTAGTCATTTGATAATCCACAGACTGTCAGAATGTATTTCATTCATTCATTGATTTTCTGAGACAGAATCATGCACTGTTGTCCTGGCTAGAGTATAGTGGTGTGATCATAGCTCACCACAACCTTGAACTCCTAGGCTGAAGTGATCCATCTGCCCCATCATCCCAAATAGCTGAGACTGTAGGGATGTGCCAACATGCCCAGCCAATTTTTTCTAATTTTAGTAGACAAGGGACTTGCTATTGCTCAGCTGGTCTCAAACTCCAGACCTCAAGTGATCCTGCCACCTTGGCCTCCTAGAGTGGAGGATTACTGGTGTGAGCCTATAGACTGTATTCATACACACATTTAAACACATGCAGCCTAACCAAAAATATGTATATACTTTTTAACAGATGTTCTCTACATATTACTTTGCAACGTTGAAGTGAAGATACCTTTACTGGTCAAGTGTACCTAGACATGCTATGAACATACATTTTACTTGCAATTCATACGCTTTTGGGGAATGATCAATTTTACTACCAACAAGATCTCTTTAAATGTGTATACATTTTTTTGGTACCCCTGGTATATTTTTTAGGTAGACCTATGATATTTATTCTTGCAAGTCACTTTATTTAATTTTTAGATTCCAAGAGCAGTGAAAAATTTGGAGACTATATATGGTTTTTTGTGACTGTGACAAATTTGATTCATTTATGCCCTTAAATACATACCAGTGCAACAGTATAATTAGCATCATGCATTAACCACCAGAAAACAAATTATAAGTAACTTTCATATTTTCTTTACAGTCTGCACCCTCTCTGTTTCTTAAAAGCAATTTTGAGTACTTAAGGGGCAATTATCGAAAAGCTGTGAAGCTTTTAAATAGTTCAAACATTGCTGAGCATCCAGGATTCATGCAAACAGGTAAAAAAAAATTTGTCAAATTTTAGTGAAGTTTTTTTCCCTGGTTATTTTACCTCTTTTTGCTTGGTGTTTTTTTCCCTAAAATGCTCTTCACAGTGATTTATGCTAATTTTTCAATGACAATGTTTTAATATTTCTATAGAAAATTCTTGGAATTTTAGTTTATGACTTGTTTCCACTTTATAAGAAGTCTCATTACTTCTTTCACTTTTCTTTAAATTCACTTGCTCTTTCTTACGTTTTATTATTTAATTCCAGGTTAGAATTTATGTTGAGATATAAAGTTCTTGGGTAAAGTGAAACCTTTTAAGGAAATGAGATGTTTTTTACTTTTCCTCTTTTCTCGATAAAAGCAGTGAATAATATGGTTTCTTTAGGTTATTAAGTATATCAAAATAGTTCTATAAAATTAGGAAGATAATTATTAGCTATTCTTGCCTCTGTTTAGAAAAGTCTTATGAATCTCTTGGTATTAATGGCAAAATGAAAGATAAAAATTGTGACTGTTATTTAGGTTTATGTCATCACTATTTTATGGAGAAGGAAAAGGAAAATCTGTTATTCAAGAAATGAGGGTAAAATATTTAAAATGTTTGTTTTGCATTCTGCTTGATTCATACACAAAGTACACATGCAAATATACTTAAACCTTCCCCCATATGCCCTTTCAGTTCACTGGAGTCATGGGGGTAGAAAAAGACAGTTTGTTCCATTATGATTCTCTTCTGGGTATTCTTTTTGTTCTAAGTATCCATTTTCTAATTCTGCTAAATTTTAATTTTTTATGTTTTAAGTATCAAGTTTCCCCTTAGAGGCCCACTAACATTCAACATGAAAGGATCTCTCAAACTAAAAAGATAATGTGCTTTGAGAAAATTTTGCTTAGCTTTGTTTTGACACAGATTTCAGGTCAGTCTTTAAAATTAAATCAAGAACAGGGTATTATAGGTGGCTAGTCCAACAGTTATAATCTAATGGAAAAGGTTTTGATATAGTTTTATATTTTATGTATTTATATTTTTAATAGTTGTAATTTTGAAAACTGTAATTTACTTCCAATATAAATTGCTGCCAGTAATATATGTCTACTAGAGAAAATTGGGAAAATAGAATTCTTTTTTTTTTTTAGAGACAGAGTCTCACTTTGTCACTCTTGGTAAAGTGCTTTGGTATCACAGCTCATAGCAACCTCCAACTCTTGGGCTTAGGTGATTCTCTTGCCTCAGCCTCCCAAGTACCTGGAACTACAGGCGCCCTCCACAACATCTGGCTATTTTTTTGTTGCAGTTTGGCCAGGGTCGGATTTGAACCCACCACCCTCAGTATATAGGGCTGGCACCCTACTTACTGAGACACAGGTGTTGCCCTAGAATTCTTAAATCATCCTACAATGCTCCTACACAGAAGCAGCCTCCTTAAAACATTTTAGTGTGCTTCCTACAATCTTTTTTGAAGTCTAGTTTTTCTCTTTTTAAAATGTCATCACTGGGGCTTGGCGCCTGTGGCTCAAGCAGCTAAGGTGCCAGCCACATACACCTAAGGTGGCGGGTTCGAATCCCCAGCCTGGACCGCCAAAACAACAATGATGGCTGCAACCAAAAAATAGCCAGGCGTTGTGGCGGGCGCCTGTGGTCCCAGCTACTTGGGAGGCGGAGCCAGGAGACTCGCTTCAGCCCAGGAGTTGGAGGTTGCTGTGAGCTGTGATGTCATGGCACTCTACCCAGGGGGACAGCTTGAGGCTCCGTCTCAGAAGAAAAAAAAAAATGTCATCACTGGGCAGCACCTGTGGCTCAAAGGAGTAGGGTGCCAGCCCCGTATGCTGGAGGTGGTGAGTTCAAACCCAGCCCTGGCCAAAAACTGCCCCCCAAAAAGGTAAAATGTCATTACCAGGCAGGGCATGGTGGCTCCTGCCTATAATTCTAGCACTCTGGAAGGTCGAGGTGGGTGGATTGCTTGAGCTCAGCAGTTCAAGACCAGCCTGAACAAAAGTGAGACCCCCATCTCTAAAAAATACAGCTACTCCAGAGGCTGAGGCCAGAGGATGTCTTGAGCCCAAGAATTCAAGGTTGCTGTGAACTATAACACCAGGGCACTCAACCCCAGGGCAACTGAGTGAGACTCTGTCTCCCTCAAAAAAAAAATTGTCATTGCCTAATTTAAAAATACAGAATATCAGAAGATAGGCTAGGCATAGTGGCTTATACCTATAATCCTAGCACTCTGGGAAGCTGAGGGAGGAAGGTCAGTTGATCTCAAGAGTTCAGGACCAGGCCAGACTAAACAAATGCAAGACCTGTCTCCACCAAAAGAAAAAAAAAGTCAGCTGGGTGTGGTGTTGCATCTCTGTAGTCCCAGTCCCAGGTACTCAGGAGGCTGAGGCATGAGGTTCACTTCAGCCCAGAAATCTGAGGTTGGAGTGAGCAGTGATGACACCACTGTATTCTGGTTAGGGGTGACAGAATGAAAACCTGTCTCCAAAAAACCAAAAACAATAACAACAATTATATGTATATAGTTTTTAGTACTAAGCAGTAATATCCTGATTATTTTGTCATTATGTCCTTGAGGAAAAATATGTGGACTATTCAGTGAATTGTTTTGTAGTGTTTGGATAGCCATTAGAAAAAGAAAGTAAAGTTTGAATTACCTTCATTATACCAGATTAAAATGTAAAAATAAGCAGCAAAACAAATGGATGAATATTTTAATTTTGTGGTGAAGAAGGCTTAATTAAACATTATCCAGAATCCAAGTACCATAGAGTTAAGAAAAGATAACTAAATGTCACCACATAAAAATGTTAAAATTTTTGGGTGGCGCCTGTAGCTTAAAGGAGTAGAATGTCAGCCCCATATGCCGGAGGTAGTGGGTTCACACCCAGCCCCAGCCAAAAACTGCAAAAAAAAAAGTTAAAGTTTTTATGATTAGGCTCGGCGCATATAGCTCAACTGGCTAAGGCGCCAGCCACGTACACCTAAGGTGGCGGGTTTGAATCCCCAGCCCGGGCCCACCAAACAACAATGACGGCTACAACCAAAAAATAGCCGGGCGTTGTGGCGGGCGCCTGTGGTCCCAGCTACTTGGGAGGCTGAGGCAGGAGACTCGCTTGAGCCCAGGAGTTGGAGGTTCCTGTGAGCTGTAATGCCACGGCACTCTACCCAGGGGGACAGCTTGAGGCTCTGTCTCAAAAAAAAAAAAAAAAAAGTTTTTATGATTAGAAACATAAACATACACACACATACTGGACCAAGTCACAAAACATATGACTGACAGGGGTGGGCAGGAATATTTAAAACAGATGTGACAGGCAGTTTCTGTAACATATAAACCAACTGGTAACCAATAGGAAAAATATCTGTAACCATATAAAAAAAAGACAGGAAGAGGCAACATACAGGCTAAGAAATACAAGTGCTCCACAAACATCAAAAAGTGCATGGCCACAGTGCTATTTAAAGAAGTGTGAGAGGCCAGGAGCGGAGGCTCATGCCTGTAATCCTAGCACTCTGGGAGGCCTAGGCAAGTGGATTGCGTGAGCTCACAAGTTCGAGACCAGCCTGAGCCAGAGCAAGACCTCATCTCTAAAAGTAGCTGGGTGGTGTGGCAGGCACCTGTAGTCCCAGCTGTTTAGCAGGCTGAGGCAAGAGAATCACTTAAGCCCAAGAGTTCGAGGTAGCTATGAGCTGTAATGCCATGGCACTCTTCTGAGTGTGACAAAGTGAGACTGTCTCAAAAAAAAAAAAAAAAAAAAATGAAGTGTGAGTTAAAGTAACAGTGGACACAGGCGCAGTGGCTCACACCTGTAATCCTAGCACTCTTAGTGGCTGAGACAGGTAGATTGTTTGAGCTCAGGAGTTTGAGACCAGTCTGAGGAAGAGGGAGATTCCATCTCTACTAAAAATAGAAAAACTAGCTGGTCCTTGTGGTAGGCGCCAGTAGTCCTAGCTAGTCGGGAAGCTGAGGCAAGGGGATGTCTTCAGCCCCAAGAGTTAGAGGTTACTGTGAACTATGACTCTATGGCACTCTACCCAGAGTGACAGAGTGAGACTTTGTCTCAAAAAAAAAGTGGAGACTATTTTAACAAACAAAAGCAAGATTTTATGTGTGATATCATATTACTAATAAATATTTTTTTTCTTTCTATGTTTTTGTATCATTTGTCTACAATTATTAAAAATCAGGTGGTGGCACACGCCTATATTCTTAGCTACCTGGGAGGCTTAGGTAGGAGAATCGTTTGAACTTAGGAGTTAGTAGTTACAGTGAGCTGTGATGACACTACTGCACTCTAACCTGGGCAGCAAAGCAAAGCTCTACCTCAAAACAACAACGACAAAATCAGGCTAACAAAATTTATAGAGTTGGGTCTTAAAAATAATCTTATCACTTTTAATAAAATAATTTTTTTTTTTTTTTTTTTTTTTTTTGGCCAGGGCTGGGTTTGAACCCGCCACCTTCACCATACAGGGCCAGTGCCCTACTCCTTTGAGCCACAGGCGCTGCCTATGTGGGTTTTTTTTTTAAGGCAGAGTCTCACTTTGTCACTTGCGGTAGACACAGGTGGCGTCACAGCTCACACCAACTTCCATCTCCTCCAGGCTTCGGGGATTCTCTTGCCTCAGCCTCCCAAGTAGCTGGGACCACAAGCGCCTGCCACAAAGCCCAGCTATTTTTTGTTGCAGTTTGGCCAAGGCAGGGTTTGAACTCGCCACCCTTGGTATATGGGGCCGGCGCCCTACTCACTGAGCCACAGGCGCTGCCCTAATTTTTTTAGGCTGTCTCACTATGTCGCCCTTTTTGTAGGTGCTGTGGCATTACAGCTCACAGCAACCTCAAACTCTTAGGCTTAAGTGATT